CCAGCGTCTTGCCCAGGTGCGTGAGCATGTTGGCGGACGGCGTGGCGCGGCAAGCCCACTGGTGCACCAGCACGGCCTGCTCCACCGCCTGAGTCAGGGACGTGTTGACGCCGCGGTGGGAGCCGCCCCGCCGCAGGTTCCGCCAATGCCCGTCGACGGTCTGCGCGCCCCCTACGCGCCACGTCCACTCACGGCCGCCCCACTGCCCCGCGCGCGGGTCCACCTCCTCGACAGCCGACACGTCGTCTGGGTGGACGTGGACGAGTCGCATGGCGGTGAACTCCCGCTCCACGCGCCCCGCCACCTTGCGCGAGTGGCACACGGAAGTGTGGCAGAGGCGCAGATGGCGGTACTTCGCCGCCCACTCCTCCCGGCGGTCCCGCCAGTCCCGCCGCTCCGCCGCGCACCGCGCCAAGCACTCCCGGAAGGTCTCCCGCCTCCACTCCCCGGGACAGAGGTTGGCGGCCCCCACGACGTCCTCCTCGGAAGCCGGAAGCGGCGCGTCGTGCGCCGTCCGCCAATCCAGGTTCCGGTACGCCTTCGCGCCGTCAGTGTGCACCATGGTCCCAGGGCGCAGCAGGGGCGGGCCGCCGGACTTCGGCCGGAGGATGAAGTCGTGGAGCTCCTCGTGCGAGAGAGCCCCGCCACCTCCCTGGCCCTGGCCCGAGGCGTGCCTGGGGGGGAGCGCCATCAGGACCAACTTGCCGCCGTGGCGCTCGTGGGCCGCGATGTACCGGTGCCACTCGCGGCCCCGTGTGCCATCGGCGCCCTCGGCCCAGCGGGCGCGGAAGCAGACCTCGTCGATCTCGACCTCCGCGCCCGGCCCGCCCAGCTGCTCGGTGCAGTTTTGCCAGAGCTGGTACTCGGCAACGGTGGCCCGGGCGCCCTGGACCCAGCCCTCCACAAGGCGCTTGTGGTCGAGCCAGCAGTCCAGAGCCAGCTCCTCCGTCGACGGCTCCAAGCTCTTGGACCACCGGCAGAAGAGCGACGCGTTCTGGCGCAGGGAATACTTCCCGCACCAGATCTCGGCGTCCAGCCCAACGGCGCGCTTGCCCCCGCAACGCCCGCACCGGTAGTACGCCGTCTCCTTCCGCACGGCGACCTCGCGCCCCCCGATGCGCACGGCCTGCGGCCCTCTGTGCAGCGCGGCCCTCTGCCCCGCGCCCCTCTGGGCTGAACGGGCCGCGTGCTCGCTCTCCAAGACGCGCACGTCCTGCGCGGCGCCCGGCGCGCCACAGCCCGGCGCATCGCACGCGGCCCTCTGCGGGAGGATGCCGCAGTCCTCCAGGACGGCCACGACGTCCCGGCCGTCGACCATGTCCGAGAGGACCTGCGCGCAGAGGGGGCGGCCAGCCTTCCCCGCCCGCGCCAAATGCCCGTGGCGCACTCGGCCCGCGGCCGTCGGCCCGCCGCAGGGCACTTTGGCCGCGTACGGGCGCATGAGCCGGCGGGGTCCGATGGACGCGCGGGCGCGCGCCACCGCGTCCCGCCGCGGCTCGGGCACATCCGCGTCTGCCGCGTCCAGCAACGCCACCACCTCGAAGGGGATGGCGTCGTCTGGGTGGGGAGCGGCGGGCTCCTCCGCGTCCTCCAGCCCTTCGGCCTCGTCCCCCACGGGCGCCACCCGCCGCTTGCGGCCCCCCCGCCAGCCGCCCTGGCCGCCTCGACGAGGCAGGTGGCAGGGGGGCGCGGGCACTTTTTTTCCGGCCCGCAGAGCTAATCTCCTTGAAAATTGCGGGCATTTTTTTTTCGCGCCCGCAGTTCGATTGCCCCGAGGGGAAACTGTCGAGGGGATTGGGGCGTCTGCGCCCCTGTAGCCTCCATAGAGCCAAGGCCTTGGCGGATTTGAGGCTTGCGAGGAGGCCCTGGGACGATGGCGCCAGGGCGCTTAGGGCCTCATGGCCTTCACTCCTGGGAATTTGCCGGGAGCCTGTTTCTCGGAATCTGCTGGTAATGTAGTGAAATGACACAATTCAGTGGAATGGAGCAGGCGAAGTATGCCCAACCCTCCCAAGTAGAATAATGTTAATGTAGTGAAATGGGGCATCCATGTTCTCACAATCTGACCTTCCTGGGTTCAATTCCTGGTGGGGCCTATGAAGGGACGTGCCCAGCCATGCCATTATCATTGCGGGGGAAATCACTGTAGAAAGGATTCTGTGCAAGTAAGGCCGTTTACATGTATTTAGAGCTTTGCATACTCAGGAATTCTGAAATTTAGAATTGCCATCGCCCCCATTGCGAAAGCCACCGCCACCGCTGCCGCCGCGGCCGCCAAGCCAACCCTGCCGCTGCCTCTGGCATTGCCAACCAGGCCCACCACGTCCGCTGCTTCTGCGCCGACAGCCACCACCCCCCCACCCCCACCCCAGCGCGACCCAGCCATCCACCGCCACTATCCAGCAAGCAAGCAACGCGCCTGCCCCAGGCACACCGCAGCCAATACCATCACCGCGGCCACCGCCCCCCCCTTCCCGCCCCCCGCCCAGCATTGCCCCACCACTATCGCTGTCCCCGCCGCTGCTGTTGCCGCCCCCACCAAAGGCACCGCCGCCCACACCACGATCGCTCCCACTGCCCCTGGCGGCCCAGCCGCCACCACCTCGGCCGCTGCTTGTTTGAAGCACCCAGCGCCGCGGCTCCCAAAACCTTTTCAGCCCCCACAGCGGCCGCGCTCGCCGGAGCCGCTGTTGTCGCCACTGCCACCGCCCATGCAAAACCACTACCAACACTGCGGCGACCACAGCCGCCCCCCCCCCCCCTCGCGGCTGCGCTCACCGTTGCCGCCGCACTGCCACCGCGCACACCACCGCTACCCCCGCCACCCCTGCCGCCGCCAGCCCTGCCGCTGCCTCTGGCATTTCCAACCGGGCCCACCACCGCCGCCGCTGCTGCGCCGACAGCCACCACCCCCCGCCGCACCCCCACCCCCCCCCGCCCCCCCCGGCCCCCGCCCAGCATTGCCCCACCACTATCGCTGTCCCCACCGCTGCTGTTGCCGCCGCCGTTGCCGCCGCTCGCCACCGCGCACGCCACCGCTACCCCCGCCACCACCACCACCACAACGACGACGACGACCACCACCACCACTACTAGAATAGGGGACGTGCCATAGAATAGGGCAATTATATGCCCTCCTTCCCCTGTATGTGCCGAATTGTAGTAAAATGGAGAATATCCCTTCCCACAATCTGAGCTTCTTGGGTTCAATTCCTAATGGTGCCTTTGGGGCCTGCTTGGGGGTAGGGTTTCCAGCGAGCTGCGGATTGCCCGTGCACCTCCCACCCCCTGGGGGAAACCGGAGCTTCGTGGGGGCTGGGCTGGCTCTGGTGGGGCGGGGCCTGCAGGGGCTGGGCGCGGCCCTGAGGCAGGCGCGGGGCCACGCATCTGGAAGCGGAAGCGGGGGCAACGCAAACAAAAGACAAAAAACCATCGAACAGCCGGGCTTGTAAGACCACGCAAAAGAGCAAACCAAAACGTCGACCTCCCGGCCTTGTAAGACCACGCCCGGCAAACGGGCCAAGAGGCCTCCAAGAGGGCCCCAGGATGGACTAAGAGCGCCCCAAGACGGCCAAAGAGGCGCCAAAGACGGCCCATGGGAGCCCCAAGACTGCCCCGAAAAGAGCTCCAGAGAAGGAACATGAACCGAAAATCCGAGCCATCCGCCCAAAGACCCCCAGGAGGCCCGAAAAGACGCCCAAGAGGCTACCAAGAGGCCCCCAAGAGGCCCACCAAGAGAGGCCCCCAAGAGGCCCGAGAGGCCCGAGAGCGGCCCCGCGAGGCCCCAAAACGGCCCCCCAGAGGTCTCGAAACTGCCTCCACCCACGAGATCCCAACGAACATCCAATAGGCTTACAACACACAACCCGAGCATGGTGGCGGGAATTGCCGTAGGCAGCTGGCTAGCGTCCAGGCGTCGATTAGCCTAGTTCGCCGCGCGGCCGCCGCAGCCCCAGGGCAGGGAGATTACTCCCGCATGGCACCTTTTCCCCAGAGAACGCCACGGCGCCGCACGTGCGGATGCGGAGGTCGGTCATGCGGGGCGCTCCATCGCCTTGGCATGAGGCGGAGGAGCGTCCCTAAGACAGGGCCAGCCGCCATCGCCAGCGCAAACCCGTCTGCGGATCGCCCGATCGGCACACTCGCGGGCCCGCGCGCCCATTGGGGAAGGCGGCCCATGAGGCCGCCCCTTGTCGAACACACTCGCCGTGCGACGCTCCGCTCTCAAGCCAGGGCGAATCGCGAACCCCAAATGAGCCGGAAGAAACAGATGGCATGACAGCCTGACCCAAAATGGATACGGACTCCTCCTCCTCCTCATCATCATTATCATCATCATCATCCTCCTCCTCCTCCCCCTCCTCCTCCGTTTCCTTTCTCCATACTCCCTCCTCCTCCCCCTCCTCCTCCTCTTTTCCTCTGTTCCTCTTTCATGTCGGTCCTCCATGCCCGACCTCTCTCATCCATCGTTCCTCATCGCTCTCCTGGCCAGGCAAGAGAGAGCCAGTGGCGAAAACGTGCTCGACGACTCGACGAGAGGCTGACCGTGGGCGCGGGCCGAATCCAGGGCGAGAGGAGCAGCGGGGGCAGGACAAGGAGAAACGAGGTGGACAAGCCAAGGTCACATCAAGGCGGTCCGGGAGGGGTGGGGGATAGGAACGGATCATACGGGGGGGGGCAGCGGAAGATACGGCAGGATCGTGTCGTGAAAACCCCAGCGTTGGTTTCTGACACCGCGTGGATCGTTCAACCTTTGACGATCGCAGCTTTCCGATATCGCGAATCCTTCAGTGTCTGCCGATTCTGGGCCACCAGCGACGTTCAACCTTCGAACGCCGGCGCCGGGGTTGCCGACGCGCCGACACGACACGACTCTTTCGTACCAGAGAGGGGGGCGGGGGGCGAGGGGCGGAGGAGAGCCTCGAAGAGAGGGGCGGGGAGCAGGGGCGCATCACAAGGAAGCGCAAGGACCGAGATTCGCAGGCCGCCCCGTGCGCCGGCCTCGTCATTCAGGATGTAGTCAACCATGAAAACTTGCATGAACAGTCCAATGATAAAAATAACGCTCCTGTCGTCGCTTTCAAAGACGCGGAGAAGCACGCGTCATTGTGGCACTGTTGCCGCATATCATCTGCATGTCATTCGCACGGCGGTATGTCGGGGCACACTTACTCTGACACATCGAAACCACGTACCAGAGGCAATGACACAAGGAGCGCCATGCGCATGAAGTGCATGCAAGCTTCTTCGCTACTCGGTTGGTGCAGATAAACGAGCCTTCTGCCACCATGCGGTATTGCAGCTGCCGCGGATGCTCCCCGAATCATCCCGTAGCTGTGTGATGTGTAGAACCTCGCGCGTGCTCGCAGCTGCAGAAGCTCCTGAGGCGGCTTGGACTGACCTATGGGAGTTTTGACACGACCCTCAGTCCTCCCCAGGAAAAAAGTGATTGATACGAGAGAAATGCTACACATTCTGCACTGCATCCCTCTCCTGTGCAATGAGTTATCTCCTCACCGTCGCACCACCAGACGTGTTGGCAGAGCGGGCCTTACCACTTGGAATTCTGAAACTCTGAATCCTGAAACTTGGAACCCCACAGCAGCTACAAGGCTGAAGGGCGACCAGTTTTGACATGTGGATCTCGCCTTTGCGCAGCACATGTCCGTCCTACATGCCTCGAACGGTGAATGGCAGCCCGTTTTCAAAATGCGGTTCTCGCCCAGACACTGCGCACATTCGTCTTAAACTGTTTCGAATGCGACAAAGACGAAGGGCGGCTCAGCTTCAGCCAATACTTCCCAATCATAATAACCACCAGAGCAAGATTGCTGCAACAGCTTCGAGGATGGAGGGCGGCTTATTTTCAACATGGACCTCTCCCTTGATGCTGTCCTAACTTGTATGGCCTGATGTGTATATTTGTACAAAATTACACGGGTGGAGGGCGGCTCTATGCCAATAAGGTGCTTCCGTTGGACAATATCTCGGCCTCTCTGTTCCCTCCCCTTCACATGTCTTACAAAAGGGTGCACGGCAACGCGTTTTCAAAACGGAAATCTCGCCTAAATGTGATTATATGCCAGCCCCCGTCTTCATGACGAAAGGACTTCGGAAGAGAGGCTTTATGCGGCATCGATTACACATCTTGGGTTTACTCTGGTCCCCTGTCTCCTCATCATCTTCTTCCCTTGTTCCGCCTGCCCACTCCTTTATTCGACCATCTGCATCCTCAATCGCTCTCTCCTCCTGTGCCCCCGTCCTCCCCCAACCCTCCATCCGTTCATGATCTTCCATCCTTCTCCCTCATTCCCTCCCTCTTTCTCTCCTTGCCTCCCTCCATCCCCTCATCCCTCATCCCTCATCCCTAGCCTCTCTCTAACCCGGAACCCCAACCCCCATCCCTCCCCCCTCGTTATCCTGCCTCCTCTCTAGACGTACTCCTTCTTGCCGCCTCCCACCTCCCACATCCTCCCTGGCTCCAGTCCTGGGCCCCCCTCCACCTCCCGCTCCTGCCTTTCTTCCTCCACGTCCATGTCATCAGCCTCCATCTCGTCTGCATTCTCATACCTCTGAAGAACTGACGGCATGGAGAAGAAATGTAAATCACACGGCCATACGCCAAAATACAACTGCGCTCGAGAGCCTCAAAATATGATAACGAATACGAAACATGACAAGAGGCGGCAACCAGGTCCGGGCCAACTCCACCAGCAGCAGCTTGGCCGTCGCTCTGAAAATCAACGGTTGCCTATATTGGCCGAAGATGCAACGTCACTGCAAAAGGCGACGTGCCAATCAAAGGAGAAGGGGGGGGATGGGGGCAGAAGGGGGAAATAGCATTGACAAGAAAAAACAGCAACAACACCACGGCCCCAACCGCCTTCTGCGCCAACCGTCACATGGGGAACATAATATCCGCCGGCACCCCCGTAGGCCAACAGGCCGCGAGGACCAGGTTTCCTCGCCACCCCGCAACACCCTCATCGTGACGGCCCCCAACGCTACACCTGCATCGTTCTTGCCCAAGTGATGTAATGACTGAAATCCACGAGGACACCAGCCCGCAAAAAACACTCCTCTCCCAAAAAGGGGTGCTCAATATTGCTTGGGGGGCCCTTGGACGCGTAAAATTATCCCGGCGAAACGCCCAACCATATGAGGCTGTCCGCAATACTGGAAAGATGGAGGATTGGGCAGGCACCGCATGTGGACTCTGCCGCTGGGGCCCTCGTTGGAGCCTCTTATGAGGTCATGAAACGTGTGAGGCAGCAGCACGAAGTCGTATCCCCGGAGGTGCGAAGGACACCGGCGTGGAAAACTGGGAATTTACATGTAGGGCTAAACTACAACTGCAATCGTGCCGTTCGAACAAACTGTTGCCAACTCCTTCGCCAGCCAGGAAAGAAGGTCAAATTTGCAATGCCCCTAGCTGTCACGATCGCCATTCGAAACACATTGGTTGTCCGATCGGCGCGCGTTCTACCAAACTGTCACACGTATCTCTCAGAAGCCGGTCGGAAAGACCGTGGACAGAACGTAATTTCTCTCAGGACGATCCATAATGGTGGCGTCGCTGTTTTTCCAAACGGTGGAAGCTGCTGTCTTGCAACGGCGTCCGTCAGAGGGGCCTGGCTCCTGGCTTGTCTCGCGGGGAACTGTGGCGCTCACTCTGGATATGAAAAGGGACGCCATCCCCCAGATAGAGCGGAAGCGCCGGCAATGGAAGCCATCCAAGCGTCTGCGCCCAGCAGCGCTGAGCAACAAACAACACAACAATACGAATACACCTCGTCCAAAGTCTCACTGACACATCTGTGCATACACAATTGGAAACCACGAGTGAGCTGGGTGAGACGACTGCGGCCGGCACCATAAGAGAACCTTACGTGCCGCCGCGCTGGTCCCAGACAGGCTGCGCTGCCTGTCGGAGGGAGAAGAGGAGGAGAGGAGCAGGCTGACGACGACGAACGCGCATGCGGGAGGCCAGGCTGGCGGAGCGGGCGGGCAGGCGGAAGAGGAGCGAGCACATGAGGAGGCGCCGAGTCAAGACAGCAGGACGGATGAGACGGCAATAAAAGGAGAGAAACGCACAATCTCTTACATACATAAGTGAGAACACGTACGGGCCTGAAGAGCCAGGGTAAAAACCGCCCTTGGGTGGCAGCGGAAAGGGACGATCAATTCACCAGCCCTCAACATGACAAAAACAAACCAGCTAATGCATATTCACGGTGTGAGACCCAACCACTTGGCGGCCTGAGGCGAAGTTATCTCGGCGCCACTTGCGCTGATGTTCACCTTCCAGGGCCTTAGGGACCTCGCACACATTGTACAGCTGCGATCTCTGAGAACGCTCAGGAAAGCAGCCACACCGCACGCAGCCGACCACATCTCCCGCACGGTACAAAACGTGGCCTCGAGAGGCCTTTGGAAGAGCGACCCCGTCGGAAGGGAGCACCACGCTGGGACGGGCCGCGTTGGCACGACAGGTGGCCGCGGTCACAGGGTCAAAAGCTGCGGCAGCATCGCGGACACGCGACTGAACGCGAGGCTCGAGCTCGACCCTGGGCCTTAACTCTACGATCTAGTTTTATAAATGGCTCCGCTCTGTCCTCCTCAGGCCTCCTCGTCTTGCCCACGACCCTACCCCTAGGAGGTAAGAGAGGAGGCGAGGGAGGGGGGGTCCAAAGGGAGGTCGAAGGCAGAAAGAGAGGGAGGACAACCGCGGAGCAACTTCCTCCCAGGGCCCTCCTCCTCCTCCTCCTACTGCATGTCCACACCCTCGAGGCCACCCCAGCACCGTTTGATGGGGTTCATAAGCCCAGGTCGGGGGGCATGCAGGCGCTGGCCAAAGGCCAGCTCGGGACAGCGACGGTTTCGTGGGTGGTGCAGATCGGGCACGAGGATACCCGCGCCGAGGCCAGCATACCCACCATACCACTTGACGTACAACATTCAGTAGATGGCCATGAAGCTTGGTGGCGTCCGACGTCAACGCGCGCATATCCAGGCCTTCTTTGCTGCCGCATCCGCGTAATCACTGTCCTTCTTATCAGGTGTAGAGCCGGCAACAATCGGATGATAACAAACAAAGTATATCGGCATCTGTGTTGAGAATCTGCTTTGTTCCTCCGGGGCGCGCAACATTTTTCCTCCGGATGTCACTGTTGGGCCTCATGGGATGTGCGCACCATGCCGGTCCTTGCTGTAAGCCTTCCACGATGCATTGGCAGTCCGCGCGCACGTGCATCGGGGCGGCACCGCGCCGCAGAACTTGCATCATAACGTAGGGCTTGGCACCTGGAACAGATTGCCGATGTCCGGGCAAGGCCCATAAGCGATCCCGCGCAAGGTCGGGCCCGTAATCATCGCAGTCCCCCATCCAGTACGGTTAACTTCGGGCCAACCTATTGGGGAGATGCCAAACCCGTCTTTGTAGAGATCACCCGTCAGCGTAGCAGTACCTCCTCAGTGCGCATATCGCCATGCTTCGGTCATGCAAGGGCGCGGTGTCCTTGGCAACGCATCTCTAATCATCAGACCCCTCGTGAAAAAAAAAGGTCCGCGTCGGAGGCGCTCCGACTTGCCTGAACAATATCCGAGCCCACTCCACTCCTGCCTCTCTCTCTCTCTCTCGTTTCAAGTCGGGCAGCACCACGATCACGATGAAGTTCCCCCCGGCAGTCCAAGCAGCGCTGACATAGATCATCTTCAGCGTGGCCATTTTGCTTCAGTCTAGCCTGTGACCAATGTCCGCCTATGATGGCAGTGCGTAGTGCCGCCGGCGCTTGCTCTCCAAGGCCCCACTTCTGGGCCAGGCCTCGAGGCGCCAGCGGGAGTTTGAGAAGGGGCATCCAATATCCACTAGGCCGACGCTCAATAATTTGCCCTCCCAGAGCATGGTACTTAAGCCGTCTTCGTTCTTCAAAGCGCACAATCGCGAAGGCACGCCGCGCCAACGTTCCGATCCAGCCAGGGCGACCCTGCGCCAGGTCAACTGCCACGCCAGAGCAAATGGTCAATGGTGTAGCCGAGGACGCTCACAATCGTCGCACACGCAATGCCGCGAAGGCTGCGCCCGCTGGGCCAGCAATATCGGCGCGCTCGGGGTTCGACCCGAGGCGCTGCCTCTGCTGCCGAAAGGCCTGCTCCAAGACCTCATTAGCAAACTTGCTGCCCATGGCAAGTAGCGCCCATGCGTAAGTTGGCCCTGCCGTCGCGAGTAACTCAGGGCGCTCGCTGACCCGAGGTCCCAGGCAGCAAGGTAGGGTGCCAGGCGGTGTTCGACGTAGCAAGGTCCTTGTAGCTCCCCCGACTTGGATGCCACACTGCGTCGCTGGGGATATATGGTCGTGCAACCGCCCGGTCTATCTTGGCAAGACCACAAAAACGTCTGCATCGAGGAAGCCGCTTGCGCATCATCTCAACTCGCTTTCTGATGGATGAAAACCTCAACTCGTTGCCTCCCCGTGCAACGTCTTGTAAGGTCAGAGCTCGTGCTGACGGACCTGATGGGCGACCTGTTGGGCAATTGCATAGTCGGAGGCAAGCGCCTTGGCCTTGTCCCGGGCAATGGGTGGACTCAAGGCTTTTAAGACAGCGGCCAGGCGCTGCCGGCGCTGTAACATGCGCACCGATTGATTGTCAATGTCATGCAAGCCTGCTACAACTGTTGACATGCATTTCCATGCCATATGCATACTCAAATGTCCAAGGATTGGTGAACGCCATCCACGTCCACGCAAGACTGTTCGAATGTCAAAGGGTGAGATCATTATCAACAACAGTATAATCATGGCCACCGCGCAACCTGGCAGCACTCCGCGATGTGCCTGGCATGACTGTGAATACGCCGCGGTCAACTTGATGCGCCTGGTGACATAGCACATCGCAAGACCCAGCTGCAGGACATGCGTGGGGAACCGAAAATGCCGCGCAACCTGTAGCGCGCGCCGCCAGCAGGCCCCGACGAAGCACTCGCTGATGTCCACGAGCGCAGTCGCGACTGCCAGTCGCGCAGTGACGAGCGAGAGCCCCTGCGCATGTCATCGCGCGGGCGCCCGCGTCCAAGGTGCACTTGCGAGCGCCCGGGGCGACATATCAGTTCGCCATTCGCAAACTTTGGTGGGTCTGTACACATGCACATTGCAACGCGGGGCTAATTTCGATGGGTCGAACCCCCCTTGTGGTTTAGCCAATAGCATGCAGTGTACATTCAATATGGCCGTAGGCCACCCTGCCCAAGATCCAGCAACCCAATGCACATAGGTCAACACGGCAAGCGCCGCGTCAGAAACCAATGATATCGCTCGAGGATGTAATGCCCCAGCCACCAGCCCTGCGCGCGACTTGGATGATCGCGCTGCGCGACGAACATGTTCCACAGTTGACGCTGGAAGCGCAGGCGGAGGGAGGCGTCGCACGGGGCAGGAAGAAAGCGAGGGAACCATGAAAATGGGAAGGAGGACAACCAACTGCAAACATACGCGCCAGGCCAGGGGCCGGCTGGGAGAAAAGGGTCACCCGCGACGAAGCCAGAAACAATTTCCTACCCCCGGACTTGATTAGTCGAACCTGACATTGGACTCAGGGCCCCCGGGGAGGGGGGGATTCTTCAATCGTTGTCCGACGTTGCGGACCCTGCGGCGGCGACGCCGACTCGACGGCGCAAGCGGCGCAGCGGCGGAGTAGGCGGTGGGCGTCGGGGCGGCGGGGGGTCGTTTGCAGTCGTGGGAAGGGCCGCCGGGG